CATATTGTAACATATTTAGCTACATATTGTAACATATTTAGCTACATCACTGACTCAGTTATTCTGACGGTGAAGTGATGAACAACCTGAGAAGCTCTGAGTGTATCGGTGTCTCCACAGTAATAAGGTCGGTGGTGTTTTGTTAAAAGAGGTGGGACACAATCTTATTGACCTTAAATCAGACACAGAGTCCAGACAAAGTCTTAAAGTCCTCCATCACTGAGCTTGGGTTCATTACAGAGAAAATCATAAATTGAAGATGAACATATACTATAAAGCTGTGACCTCCATACACATGAACTCATCCCTGATGTTCTCGTCACTGTTTTCAATCCTCCTGAGGATCCGGCGTCTCTTCTCCGGTGGTTTATTGTCGTCCAGACACAAAGTAGGATGCAGGTTTTCCTCCGTCAGCCATTTGTCAACAAAGTGACATGAGCTCACATGCAGAGTTTTGGGTGGTCTCTTCAAGTTCACATGTTTCAGCCATATTCTTTTTAATTCCTCATCTGTAGGCAGGAGATGAAACTAAACCTCTTTTCACAGGAACTCTTTTTGTTTTGGTCCGTGTTCAAACTCTGTTGTTGTAGCCACTGATGTAGTTTGTTCTGCAGCAGTGAACACAACAGGTACCTGAACGCAGCACGGTTATTTTAGTCAACTTTATGTTTGTTAAATAAATGAGCATTAAGTGTAGAACCACTAGACTGAGGAACAGCTTCTACCCTGAGGCTGTTAGACTCATGAATCTCTAACCAGAATAATCACTGTGAAAAACCATATCATGTTGCTGCTGATCTGTTTCATGTTGCTGCTGATCTGTTTCATGTTGCTGCTGATCTGTTTCATGTTGCTGCTGATCTGTTTCATGTTGATGTGTTCATCTGTTCACACAGACTCATGTTCGTGTTGCTGTTCGACGTAATGTTTTTATGCTACTAGTGTTTAGTGTATATTTAGTTGATGTTTTTCTTAGTTCATATCTTAGATCTTATTACTGTTTTTCTTTTACATTTTATTGTTGACGTAACTGGTATTCTGTGAACATAATCTCGTTCCACCACATGTACCACATGTGATGTGAATGACAATAAACGACCTTGAATCCTTGAATAATGTGAACAAAACAAAAATAATTACTTTCAAATAAACCGTGATCTGAGCTCCGCTCCATGATGCTGACTGACCAGAATCATTTAGACCGAAGAGCCCCCAGGATTGAGGTGGTACAGAAGATGAGCCTGTCAGAAATTCAGACACAGTTCTCTTTATTTGATGGAAGTTCTTTAGAAGCGGGCCTGGTTCTGGTTGTTACAAAGACCTCCAAAGAACAGGAACCAAGAGAGATCCTTTTAAAGCCATTCTTATCCCTCCAGAGTCCTACAGTTCAGTACAGACCACCTCACAGTTCTTGATCCTTTCTGAGTTTACAACCTTAAGCTCACCCTGACCCTGGACCTGGTCTGTGGAGGGACTGACACTGGACCTGGTCTATGAAGGGACTGACCCTGGACCTGGTCTGTGGACAGAATGACCCCTGGACATTGTCTGTGGACAGACTGACCCCTGGATATGGTCTTTAGAGGAACAGACACTGGACCTGGTCTGTGGACAGACTGACCCCTGGATATGGTCTTTGGAGGAACAGACACTGGACCTGGTCTGTGGAGGGACTGACCCTGGACCTGGTCTGTGGAGGGACTGACCCTGGACCTGGTCTGTGGAGGGACTGACTCTGGACCTGGTCTGTGGAGAAACTGACCCTGGACCTGGTCTGTGGACAAACTGACCCCTGGGCATGGTCTGTGGAGAAACTGACCCTGGACCTGGTCTGTGGACAGACTGACCCCTGGATATGGTCTTTGGAGGAACAGACACTGGACCTGGTCTGTGGAGGGACTGACCCCAGACATGGTAGAAACTGAAAAAAAGACAAGCTGGGCTCTAAATGGGTCCTTGTGTGACTCATGTGGTTTAGGTAGTCCTGGATTTGAGCCAAGGTGCTGGTCTGATTGATGGTTCTGGACCAGGACTCCAGGATCCATCCTACAACAAACCTAGACACTCAGAGACCAGAACAGACTAATGACCAACAACTTTAGTCCTTATGGGTTCAGAACCAGTTCAGGATTCTCCAGACTAGGATCTGAACTCATCCTGGACCAGGGTCCAAGGACGCCAACGACTGATTTCAGTTACCATCCTCTGAAGCCGGTCCTCAGGGGGGTACAGGCTGGAATCCAAAGAAAGGTCTGAGGTTTTGACTGGTCTCTGCAGCCAGTGGGTCAGCCAGGACCAGTCCAAAGAGTCCAGGGTTTAGTGTATCAAGTCCTGGATCCAAATGTGAGTCTTAAGGTCCTGGGGTTCAGAGAACTGGGATTAGTTCTAAGTCCAGAGTTCAAAATGTAAAAACTGAAGTCCAAAGACCACAGGGTCCAGAGTTCAGGATCTGGTCTAGACTAAGGTGTAGGGCCCGGTTCTTCAAGTTCCCAGCTGAAGGGTTCAAAGTTAAGAACCAAAGTCCACAATCCTCAGTTTGGATTCCAGACTCCATAACCTGAAGTTCAGAGACCAAAGATTATTCCAAGGTCCAGCATTCGGGGTCTGGAGTCTGAAGTCCAGAATCAGAGGTCTACAGTGGTCTTTCTGGTTTTCTGTGGTCCAGAGTTAACAGAGACCAGGGCCAGGTCTTTCAGAGTCTCACCAGGACCAGGACCAGGCCTTTCAATCAAGGTTGAAGAGGGTAAACCTGAATCCAGAGACCATGAGACCTTGGGAAGGTTCAAGGACTCGGAGGTCCTGGTCTCAGAGGTCAGAACATGCAGCTTGAAGAAGTCCAGATTCTGGAACACATCTCAAGGTCCAAAGTCCAAAGTACTGAAGTCCAGTAGGTCCAAGTCCAGTTTCAGGTTCAAATCTTCAACTCCGACCCTAAAACTGGACTCAGTCCCCCAAAGTCTGACCTACAGATTCCAAACAAACTACAGAGAACCCACCTGGGGGGTTCTGGTTCCCAACACCATTAAAACCTGAGCCAGATCCAGATCCTGAGTTTAACTAAACCCTCACCGACCCTGGAGATTCAAGACTGGGAGCCTGGGTCCTGGACTGGTTCTGCAGGGTCCTGGACTGGATTTGTAGAGTCCTCAGCTGGCCCAGGAGACTCTCGGACTGGTTTTGAGTTCTGAAGGGATTTCAGGAGTTCTGGACGCAGATTTCGAGTTTCGGCGATGAGTCGTTTGACGCCGACCATCCATTGGCTGACCTCAGTCACATGATCGACCATCAGGGCGCGGTGGATGTCGTCAGCTGAATCCCAGCGACCCGCCTGCAGCTCTGGGAGACACAGACAGGTGCTCAGACAGGTAGGATTTGGACAGGTGTGTCAAGAGACAGGAAGTGCAGTAGGGTTACCATGAGACAGGGTGTCCAAGCGTCTCCGGACAGGTAGGCTGAGTTTACCTGCCCTCCAGCTGTCTTCCAGGAGGCGGAGCCTCTTTGCCACTTCATTACACACCTGATCCTGTGCAGAGGTCAAAGGTTAAACAGGTTAGTGACAGTCACAGGTTAAAAGTCACCTGAAAAGCCTTATATACAGATCATTTTATTTACAGTATTTTAAAAAACTTCAGGTCTGCTGATGAGTCTGGAGGCAGAGCCCCAAGCCTGGAGGCGGAGCCCCAAGCCTGGAGGCGGAGCCCAGAGCAGGTAAAAACTCACTTTGACTGAAGTTCTACAGACACTGAGTGCCCCATTCAGAACCAGCAGAACTGCCTCCACCTCAGGCTCCGATTGGCCGCTGTCTGCTTCCACCTTCCTCCTCATTGGCCCAACATTAGCAGAGGGCGTGGCTAATCCTTCAGATGGAGGTTGAGCTGAAAGGAAATGATAAAACATGACAGGTGGGCTTGTTGGAACGACTGATTTGTTTCCACCGAGCTGCTCGTTACCTGATAACAGAGGGGGTGGAGCTACACTACCAACAAAAGCAGGGGGAGCATTGGAGGAGGGCGTAGCTAGGGGAGCAACTCCTGCACCTGTGAACCAATCAGAGAAAACAAATTTTAAAAATCTGTTTGAATGACTGATAAAAGGTAAGAACTGATGTTATGTCTGCTAAAACCAGGTACCAGGTGAGGCCAGACCAGATAAACCTGGTCCAGGCAATGTTCCCTCTAAGCTATGCGCCTGCGCAATTGCGCACTGCTCGCACATTCCCTGTGCACAAGAAAACCTATGAGGCGCAGTTGTGAACTGGCCACAAGGCTATCTCCTGTTTGATAATAAACTGTCAGCCCGAGTGCAGCGGTCTGTATAGTGCTTCCGCCTGATGCGTGCAGCGTGGAGGACGGAAACCCCCTTCCAGTCAAAACAGACCTGTGTCATGTGATTTGTCACGTGATGTGTATCCAGCCAATCAGCGTCTTCTGGAGTTTCAGCGCTGAGTTCAAAGAAGCTACGTAGCTACAAGCAACCGTGACTTCTAACGCTTTTCCAAGCTTTGTTACTGCCTGTTTCATGGCATAACAAGAATTAATATTTGATATTGTGGATTTATCACAGAAGTTTACGGTCGTACGACGTCAAACAAAGGTGGTAAGTAAGCCAATCCCACGACTTGTAGCCGTTTTTATCATGCTAAGTGTTAGCAAACAGTGCTCGGCGTAAATCTGGATGGTCAAAGGAAAAGTTTACAAGACAGTGGTGAGACCAGCTATGTTGTATGGTCTGGAGACAGAGACATGGACAAAAAGACAGGAGACAGAACTGGAAGTGGCAGAAATGAAGATGTTGAGGTTCTTCTTAGGAGAGACAAGGATGGAGAAGATCAGGAATGAGATCATCAGAGGTACAGCACAGGTTGAACAACTGGGAGATGAAGTTAGAGAGGACACACTGAGATGGTTTGGACATGTCCAGAGGAGGGACAGTGGTTTGGACATGTCCAGAGGAGGGACAGTGGTTTGGACATGTCCAGAGGAGGGATAGTGGTTTGGACGTGTCCAGAGGAGGGACAGTGGTTTGGACGTGTCCAGAGGAGGGACAGTGGTTTGGATGTGTCCAGAGGAGGGACAGTTGTTTGGACGTGTCCAGAGGATGGACAGTGGTTTGGACGTGTCCAGAGGATGGACAGTGGTTTGGACATGTCCAGAGGAGGGACAGTGGTTTGGACATGTTCAGAGGATGTACAGTGGTTTGGATGTGTCCAGAGGAGGGACAGTGGTTTGGACGTGTCCAGAGGACGGACAGTGGTTTGGACATGTCCAGAGGACGTACAGTGGTTTGGACGTGTCCAACAGTGGTTTGGACGTGTCCAGAGGAGGGACAGTGGTTTGGATGTGTCCAGAGGAGGGACAGTGGTTTGGACGTGTCCAGAGGATGGACAGTGGTTTGGACATGTCCAGAGGACGTACAGTGGTTTGGACGTGTCCAACAGTGGTTTGGACGTGTCCAGAGGAGGGACAGTGGTTTGGACGTGTCCAGAGGATGGACAGTGGTTTGGACATGTCCAGAGGACGTACAGTGGTTTGGACGTGTCCAACAGTGGTTTGGACATGTCCAGAGGAGGTACAGTGGTTTGGACGTGTCCAACAGTGGTTTGGACGTGTCCAGAGGAGGGACAGTGGTTTGGATGTGTCCAGAGGAGGGACAGTGGTTTGGACATGTACAGAGGAGGGACAGTGGTTTGGACATGTCCATTGGAGGGACAGTGGGTATATTGGTAGAAGGATGTTAGAAATGCAGCTGCAGGAAAAAGACAAAGCAGTTAGAGAGGACATGGAGGTAGTTGGAGTGAGGACAGAAGTCACAGAGGACAGAGTGAGATGGAGGAGGACTCACTGTGGAGACCCCTGAAGAGGGAAAAGCCGAAAGAAGAAGAAAAAGAAGAAGTTTAATAGGTTGTGCAATGTAAATTTTATTTTTACAGACTGAATGTCACTGTGAGTTCTGGCCCTGTGCTGATCTGCAGCATGAAAACATCCACTGCAGGAACTATTAGAAGTTACAAGCTTAGATTTTTTTTTCTGTCTTCTTTGCCTTAATGTTGCTCGATAAGAAATAAATGCCTCAGGTAACGCTGTGAGCTTCACCACCTCCATCATTACAGCCATGTTGTTTGTTTGTTCGAGGTTAGCTCAGTCTGGGTTGCTGATGAAGATTCTCAGTCATCCAGGACATGATGAGTTCAAAAAATGTTCAATACAAAAACAACTGGACTTTATTTGTAACAGAAGACGTTTCGCTCCTCATCCGAGGAGCTTTCTCAATTCAAAGAGCAGAGAGTGAGAGGTTCAGGTTATAAGGCTGAGTGAGATAAGACACACACACACATATATGTAGATTGGCAGTTCACACCTAAAACCTAAAACAGTAGGTCTTTGTTCCTCTAATTCACAGACGAGACCCCTCTGTTCCCATCAGGTGTGAAAACCGGCTGGGGATCTGTTTTAAAGTTGCATTATATGTTTTTGAAAGTGGAAATCTGAGGCCTCCTCCTCTGTTAAGAGACGGCTTTTCTCTTTTTACATAAATTGCTTCCTTCTCAAACCATCTGTGTTCTCGGTCCAAAATGTGCACATGTTGGTCCTCAAAGAGTGTCTCTTATCCATGAGGTGGAGGTGAACAGCTGAGTCTTGTCCAGAGGAGGTGGCTCTCCTGTGTTGAGTCATGCGTCTGTGAAGAGGCTGTTTAGTTTCTCCAGTGTAGAGGTCTGGACAGTCCTCGCTGCACTGGACCGCAGACACTACACCACTCTGTTTGTGTATGGGTGTCTTGTCCTTAGGGTGGACCAGCCTCTGTCTGAGAGTCCTGCTGGGTTTGAAATGTACTGGGATGTTGTGTTTGTTGAAGATCCTTCTGAATTTCTCTGATACTCCAGCAACATAAGGGATGACAATGTTTTTACGTCCGTTCTTCTCCTTTTTCTGTTTATTGGTGTGTTTTGTAGATTTCCTCTCTGACTTGACAAAAGCCCAGTTAGGATATCCACATGTTTGAAGAGCTTCTTGAATGTGTTTCAGTTCCTTTTCCTTCCCTTCTGTCTTCGTGGGAACGCATTCGACCCGATGTTGTAAAGTTCTGATGACAGAGAGTTTGCGTTCCAGTGGATGGTGGGAGTCAAACAGAAGATACTGGTCTGTGTGGGTTGGTTTTCTGTACACTTCAATGTTGAGGCTGTCCTCTCTCTCCATCTGAACCAAACAGTCCAAAAAAGGCAGTTTGTTGTCGTTTGCATCCTCTCTGGTGAACTTGATGTTGTTATCGACCGAGTTAATGTGTCTGGTGAACGCTTCTACTTCCTTGGCTTGGATTTTGACCCAGGTGTCATCCACATAACGGAATTAATGGCTTGGTGTTGTTCCCTCATAGGAGTGTAGGGCTCTCTGTTCCACTTCCTCCATGTAGATTGGCAACAATGGGTGACACTGGAGATCCCATGGCACAGCCGTGCTTCTGTCTGTAAAAACTGTCATTGAACTTGAAATAAGTGGTGGAGAGGCAGAGGTCCAACAGGGTGCAGATCTGGTCTGGGGTGAAGTTGGTCCTGTTGATTAAGTCCTTGTCTTGTAGAAGTTGTTTTCTGACGGTTTCTACTGCTTCAGAGATGGGTATGCATGTGAAAAGAGAAGTCACATCATACGATACAAGGGTTTCTCCTGGGGTTAGTTTTAAGTGTTGAACTTTGTTAGCAAAATCAATGGAGTTCTTTATGTGATGAGGTGTGTTTCCAACAAGAGGAGCTAAAATACCAGACAGATGTTTAGCAATATTGTATGTCACTGAGTTCATGCTGCTGACGATGGGTCTGAGTGGTGTTCCTTCTTTGTGTATTTTTGGGAGTCCATAAAGACAGGGAGTGGCTTCCCCTGGGTACAATCTATAATACAAAGATCGATTGATTGTTTTCTCCTTTTCAAGTTTTTGCAGGTAATCTGTGACTTTCTTTTTGTAGGCACTGGTTGGGTCCCTCTTCAGGGTCTCGTAGGTGTTGCTGTCGCTCAGTAGTGTAGTTATTTTTTCCTGGTAATCAGAAGTGTTGAGGACTACTGTGCATCTTCCTTTATCAGCTGGTAAAATGGTGATGTTTTGGTCCTGGCTGAGTGATGTTACAGCTTTCCTTTCCTGTGGTGTGAGGTTTGAAGGAGGCGGTTTGGCACTGGAGAGGGTTGCTGATGTTTTCATTCTGAGTTGTTCTGCCTCTCCTTCCGTCAAGTTGTTGTTCCTAATCGCAGATTCACTCTCAGACAGAGGCTGGTCCACCCTAAGGACAGAACACCCATACACAAACAGAGTGGTGTAGTGTCTGTGGTCCAGTGCAGCGAGGACTGTCCAGACCTCTACATTGGAGAAACTAAACAGCCTCTTCACAGACGCATGGCTCAACACAGGAGAGCCACCTCCTCTGGACAAGACTCATCTGTTCACCTCCACCTCACAGATAAGGGACACTCTTTTGAGGACCAAAATGTGCACATTTTGGACCGAGAACACAGATGGTTTGAGAGGGGGGTGAAGGAAGCAATTTATGTAAAAAGAGAAAAGCCGTCTCTTAACAGAGGAGGAGGCCTCAGATTTCCACTTTCAAAAACCTATAATGCAACTTTAAAACAGATCCCCAGCCGGTTTTCACACCTGATGGGAACAGAGGGGCCTCGTCTGTGAATTAGAGGAACAAAGAACTACTGTTTAGGTGTTTAGGTGTGAATTGCCAAATCTACATGTGTGTGTGTGTGTCTTATCTCACTCAGCCTTATAACCTGTATCTCTCACTCTCTGCTCTTTGAATTGAGAAAGCTCCTCGGATGAGGAGCGAAACGTCTTCTGTTACAAATAAAGTCCAGTTGTTTTTGTATTGAACACTTTTTGAACTCAGCCTGGGTTACATTTCCTCATAGGTGACGCGATCTTACTGTTCACGTAAAATATTCGATAATGTTCTTAAAGAAACAATTCCTGAATGTCGTCTGTAGGGCTGGGTACCTTTCTAAAAAAATCTGTATCGGTACCGGTGTCGGTACCTTCACTTCGGTGTCGGTTTCTGGACGTTTTTTTTTTTGGTACCAGTTTTGTAATTACTATTAATTCTAACAAGAATAAAATGACGTTACACATTACAGTACAAATTGTGAGTTTTATTTTTTAACTTTGGTATTTTTCTGTTCCAAGCAGTTTTCTTACATTAAAATAAACAAATAATTTCCAGGTCAAAAGACCAGTTTCAAACCAGTGACAGGTCAGGGTCTAATGCTCACTAGAGGATGACATTTTTTCGGGAGTACTGCTGGTCATGTGAATCCGGCCGGATTCCAGCGGGACCGGAGTTAATTTTATTATAACTCCCGTTATCGGGACCGGACAGGACGAAAACTTAACGGGAGCTGACGGGAGCGGGAACCAACATAGGACAAAAAAAGAAATAGGACTGCCTGAAGAACTCCATTGTGTCTTTGTGGATTTAGAGAAAGCATCTGACAGAGTGCTGAGGGAGGAGGTGTGGTGTTACATGAGGAGATCTGGAGTGGCAGAAAAGTGTGTTAGACTGGTGCAGGACATGTCTGAGGACTGCAGGACATGTCTGAGGACTGCAGGACATGTCTGAGGACTGCAGGACATGTCTGAGGACAGCAGGACATGGATGAGGACAGCAGGACATGGATGAGGACAGCAGGACATGGATGAGGACAGCAGGACATGGATGAGGACAGCAGGATATGTGTGTGGACAGCAGGACATGTATGAAGACAGCAGGACATGTATGAGGACAGCAGGACATGTATGGGGACAGCAGGACATGTAAGAGGACAGCATGATGTGTGAGGACAGCAGGACATGTCTGAGGACAGCAGAACATGTATGAGGACAGCAGGATATGTGTGAGGACAGCAGGACATGTATGGGGACAGCAGGACAGTGGTGAGATGTGCTGTAGGAGTGACAGATAGCTTCAAGGTGGAGGTGGGAGTGCATCAAGGATCAGCTCTGAGCCCCTTCTTGTTTGCTCTGGTGATGGACCGACTAACAGGAAGGAATCCCTGTGGACGATGATGTTTGCAGATGACATTGTGATCTGTGGTGAGAACAGGGAACAGGTGGAAGAGAACTTGGAGAGGTGGAGGTATGCACTTGAAAGAAGAGGAATGAAAATCAGTTGTAGTAAGACGGAGTCCATGTGTGAATGAGAGGGAGGAGGTGGAACAGTGAGGCTACAAGGAGCAGAGGTCACAAAGGTGCAGGACTTCAAGGACTTGGGGTCCACTGTCCAGGAACATGGGGAGTGTGGTGAAGAGGAGAAGAAGAGAGTCCAGGCAGGATGGAGTGATGGAGAAAAGTTTTCAGCAAAGGTCAAAGGAAAAGTTTACAAGACAGTGGTGAGACCAGCTCTGTTGTATGGTCTGGAGACAGAGACATGGACAAAAAGACAGGAGACAGAACTGGAAGTGTCAGAAATGAAGATGTTGAGGTTCTCCTTAGGAGAGACAAGGATGGAGAAGATCAGGAATGAGATCATCAGAGGTACAGCACAGGTTGAACAACTGGGAGGTAAAGTTAGAGAGGACACACTGAGATGGTTTGGACATGTCCAGAGGAGGGACAGTGGTTTGGACATGTCCAGAGGAGGGACAGTGGTTTGGACATGTCCAGAGGAGGGACAGTGGGTATGTTGGTAGAAGGATGTTAGAAATGCAGCTGCCAGGAAAAAGACAAAGAGGAGACATATGATGCAGTTAGAGAGGACATGGAGGGAGTTGGAGTGAGGACAGAGGACACAGAGGACAGAGTGAGATGGAGGAGGATGACTCGCTGTGGCGACCCTGAAGAGAGAAAAGATGAAAGAAGAAGAAGATAATTTTTTTTAGACATTTATAGAGTTACAGCTGTTGTTAATAAATGTGCCTGTGTGACAATTGGGCTAAAGCTTTGACTCAGAAATATCCATCCATCATTATCTGTACCCGCTTCTTCCATTTTGGGTCAGAGGGGTCGCCGGTGCCCATGTCCAATCACTGTGCGAGGGACGGGGGACACCCTGGACAGGTACTCAGAAATATATTTTTGTTATTACTTTATGGAAAGAAAAAAATCAATATATTGTATACATCGTATATCGTGATTTATCTTAAAAATATTGAGATATTAATTTTAGTCCGTATCGCCCAGCTCCAGTGTGGACACAGCAGATAAACCTGGTCTCAGTGTCTCAGGTGTGGAC